ACTGGGATCCAGGTGGAGACACAGGCTTGGAATGCTGCTGTTTTATTGAACCACCAAAGTGGTGCTGTGGCACTGGAGGCTGAACAGGGATTTTCACAGGCTGGATCACTGCTGCAAATGGCCTCTGGGTTGGTTGTGGTGGAAAATATTGCTGCTGCTGAGGCTCCAGGGGGGCAATAGGCTGAGGCACTTCTGGCTGAATTTCCTCATGGATCTGAATCTGTGGAGGTATTCCATGGTGCTGATGCTGGTTATTATTTTCATGTTGCTGATCATTGGGTCCATGTTCCTGTTGTGTGTCATGGTGTCCATGTTCCTGTTGTGTGTCATGGTGTCCATGTTCCTGGTGTTGTGTTTCATGGTGTCCATGATGCATGTTCTTCTTGGAGCCTTCAGTGGCAGGTTTGGCAGTGAGTCTGTCATCTCTGAGGAACACCACACCGGTGTCTTTGCCAGCTTGATAAACCACAGTTAGTTCTTCCCCAGCATCACTCCAGTAGGTGAAATTCCCTTTCACATTCCCGTTTTCATCTGCTTCCTCTGCCCTGGAAGACTCAGGGCTTTCATAGCTGAATGCATATGAAGCATTCATAGGCATCATCTGGTTCTGAGGTTCAGTATGATCTTCTGAATTGTTTGCATGCTCCTGATGTAAAACAGAAGACCAATATGTACATAAAAAAAAATCAGAAAATTGATTGCTGGCTTCAAATAACAAAATCAATAACATCCTGCTCTGAATGAGATCATTCAAGTGCACAAGAAGTTTTCTAGCCCTGCTGGGAGAATGTTCAATGCAAGTGAATATGCTGATGACTAACTGAAATATTCAATATTATTATTGAATAGTAGTTGTTTTGTGACTGAGATACAGGCAAAGTTCAGTAAAAACTAACTTTACATCATTAAAATGTTTCAATGATCCTAAACTGAACACTGTGAAAAAAATGAAAACACCATTATACTCTACACCAGTATGAGGAATTTATAAGTTGATTTTTTTTAATACTGCAACTGACTTTCTGGTGGTTTTTATGTGTTTAATAGCTTAGGGCATGGTAAAAGTTGTCCATAAAGTTGTATTAGGCTAATTTTAGGGAATTTTTTTATCTTCATTATTTTCTTCTTTAGCGCAAAAAAATTATTTTTTTTACATTGATTTATTGTTTAAAGAAGATCCAATTATTATTTGGGGATTTTTTATCTTAAGGATGTATAAATTGTATATAGTTGAAGGCATTGTGATGCATTGAGAAAATTTTACCACAGGTGGTTGTTCTTCAGCAGGAGCAGGGTAGCCACCAGATGTCTCTGGAGGCGAATAGCTTCCAGTAGCTCCTCCACCAGATGTCTCTGGAGGCAAATAGCTTCCAGCAGCCCCATCAGAAGAGGCAGGTTCTTCAGGGACAACAGGAGGAGCAGGAGGCCCATAAGAGTTGCTCACAGGTTGTGCCTCAGGGCGTTTGTCTCTGGCTATTCTGTGTTGCTGTCTCATCTCTTGGTTCATCCTCAACTGCCTCCGCATGAAATCCTTCTCATCTCTTGAGCTGATGAAGTTGGCTCTAACTGCCTTTCTTGGCTGAGGGGTCTTCAAGACTGGTTCAGTCCTTGGGACAGATTC